CGATTCATTCTGATAAGGAACTTCTGGATTTTTTAACTCTGGCATTTGTTCTTGTGGAACATTTTCTTCATCTCCAACTTGTCTTTGTTCTGTTGTTGGAGGAACTATTTGCACATCTGTTGAATCATCATCAATTCTTCAGATCTATCGGCGGCTCTTTCTGAATCTTTCAACAATCTTCAATAGTTGATTATTCAACAACATACGAGATTCTCTACTTTCTTATCATCTTTTCTGGAACTGGATTATAAATCTATGGCCAAATTGATCTTGGCCATTAGCCAATGAATACACATTTGTCGAGTCTTGACATCAATTCGAGTCTTGACATCAAACTTAGACCTCTCATCCTTAGGAATATGCACGAAGGCTTTGCAACCAAACACCCGCAAATGATCATAGGAAACATCCTTTTCTGACCATACTCTTTCTAGAGTATCATACTGAAGAGGAACATAAGGTGAATGATTTATAAGATCAACTGCTGTAAGAAGAGCTTCACCCCAAAATCTTTTTGACAACTTTGCATGTGAAAGTAAAAATCTGACTCTCTCAATCAAAGTTCTGTTCATCCTCTCAGCCAAACCATTCAGTTGCGGCATCTTGGGAGGTGTTGTTTAATGTCGAATGCTATGCTCTTTGCAGAAAGCATCAAATGGCCCAGTGTATTCTCCACCATTATCTGTCCTGATACACTTCAGCTTCTTGCCTGTCTGTCTCTCAACCAGGTTTCAACCAAGTTTATAAATTGTTTAAAAACATCTAAAACTTGATCTTTAGACTTCAAGGTATATACCCAGGTCTTCCTAGAATGGTCATCGATAAATGTTACGAAGTATCGATTTCCACCATATGACATCGTCAAAGGTCCACACAGATCTGAATGTACCATCCACCATATGACATCGTCAAAGGTCCACACAGATCTGAATGTACCAGATCTAACACATTCTTCATTCTAGAAGGCTGAGATATCTTAAAAGTTACTCTGTTCTGTTTTCCTACCATACAATCAGAACACTTCTCTAAATGGACTTTATCCAATCCATATAGCATGCTGTTTCTAACCAGAGTTGTCATTCCTTTCTCACTCATGTGGCCTAGTCATTTATGCTACAATTCAACCGTACTGTCATCCTTCGCTACACTTAAAGTATCTTGGGAGAGCTTCCCATGCATTACGTACAACTTTGGGTCTTTCCTTCCATTGGCTATCACCATGGAACCTTTTGTGAGCTTCCACTGACTATTTCTGAAGGTGCTACAGAAATCTTCAACATCAAGTCTGCCAACCGAGATTAAATTAGAATGCATGTCCGGTACATGCACGACATCTTTTAGAATTAATCTCGAACCAATTTCTGTCTCCAAGCAAATATCTCCCTTATCGACGACTTTTAACAGTTTGCCGTCTGCTATCTTGACCACACCCAGATTGTCTGGTGTGTAAGATGAAAAATTTTCTCTCCGGGATGTTGCATGAAGTGTAGCCCCACTATCAATTACCCAACTGGTCTTTTGGGTTGCAAGGTTGATAGTGTGTTCAATGAACAATTGGAACTCAGCAATAACATTAGCGTCATCATCACTGCTTTCTTCTTTCTTTGTTTTGCCTTTGATCTTCTCCTGATCACTTTTGAATTTTCGGCAATACCTTTTAATGTGCACCTTCTTCCCACAGTGATGGCGCACAATATCGGAAAATCTGTTTGATTTACCCCTGCTCTTATTTTGGTATTTGAACTTCTAGATTGGCTCCTCTTTCTGGGCTGGTTAATTCCTTTAGCATCTGCTAAAAGAATGTCTGACTGAGATGAAGAAAGATTCTGTGCTTTACATCTCATTTCTTTATTCAGAACAACATTTTTAACAAATTCCCAGCTAACTCCACTATGTGGTGTAGATTTTGTTATTGATATCTTCAAAATCTCCCATGACTCTGGTAAGGAGGCAAGCACCATAAGGCCGAGGATTTTATCATCAAATTTTATGCCCATATTTGACAGCTGGTGAATAGTCGCCTGCATGTGAATTAGTCGCCTGCATTTCACTCAAGTGATCTGCTACAAAAGTACCTTCTTTGCGTTTTTGAAATCTCATCAGTTCCATCAAATAGAACAATTGATTGTTGCCAGATTTTGAGGGCATATAGCTCTTCAAAGCTTGTCCATAATGGTTCTGGCATGTAGTTCTTGTTACAAATTGTAGTTATACACATTATCATCGACAAGTTATACACATTATCATCGACAAATTGTCGAATATAGCCGCAAACTTGCTCATGCTCAAAAGCCCATTCTTCATCAGTCTTGTCTTCCGGTTTACTTGAGCCAAACACGGGCAGATGCATTTTGGTTACCATAAGGAGATCTCTCATTTATTTATCAATATATGGTAATTTGCGCCATTTAGACTGATCATTTTGCTTGTCCTAGCCTCCATTGCTTTTGAGTGAATAGTACCCATATATGTAAATAGTAACAGTATACGAGAATAGTAACTATACACGTGAATAGTACTATGCATGAATATTGATGGGCTTACTTGAAACTAGGCATGGCCGGTTCAGTGAACTGCCGGTTCGAGATGTTTAAAATTTTGAACCAGAACCGACCCTTGAACCTCTGGTTCCGGTTCCGGCACGGTTCGGCACAGTTCCGGCGAACCGACGGTTTGAATTACGGTTCCGATTCGGTTCTGACATTACGCAAATTTTTAAAAAAATAATAAAATTTTGATTCCGAATTCATAAATAAATAATAATTTTAAAATGTTTTAAAATTTTTAAATTTTATTAACATTAATAAATTATTATAAAATTTTTAAAAGAAAAACTCTATTAACTAACTCTAGAACTATATATTTATTATTAAATTTTACCAAGATTTTCTAATTCACTCGTATAGCAAAAAACTATAAATGGAATATAAAATTAATGAAATGAGTTGAAAATTATTATTTTCAAATACTAAGAAAATTATTAAAAAGATAAATGAAGTAAATTTATGAATGGAAAAAATTGAGATTAGAGAAAGAATTTAGAATTAGATTTAAGAAAATAAAAAATAAACAATCCAATATTAAGAAAAATAAAGCAATAGAAAAAATTAATGAAATATAAAAATTTGCGAGAATTTTAATTGAGAATAAGAGAAGAGTTATAATATAATTGGTTGTGAAATAAAAAATCATCAACTCATTATATTTATACATGTACTATAATTAATCGATTATATTTTACATAATCTAATTTAATACAAAAATTTTTTATTTATTAATATAAAATAATAACTGCCCATATCACTAAAATTTATAAGTTATGTAATTTATTTATATCATTAAAAGCTATATAAATTGTTATATAATCAATTATATTTAAAACGGTTTAATTCAATCATAAATTAATTTATGTTCAAATCTTGAAAGTTTTTTTTTTTTTTTATTAAATCAACCATATTTCATGTACCATTTTTTGTATAAATTAAGGGTAAAAAAATGTGTATTTTTTTCACCACCTTTTTATAATTTATGTTACCATTTGTATCAACTATTCATGTACCATTTTTTGTATAAATTAAGTAAAAAAATGTGTATTTTTTTCACCACTTTTTATAATTTATGTACCATTGTACTTTTCTTCACTATAAATCAAATCAACTACAATCAAATAAAGTAATATAAATTTTTTTATAAAAATTTTAAGCTATAATTTTTTTGTGCATCCGGTTAGAACCGGACAGGAACCGCCGGTTCCGGTTCATATTTTAAGATTCACATGAACCTTAACCGGCCCTTGAACCGCTGGTTCCAGTTCAAAATTATGAACCACCGGTTCCGGTTCATCTACAGTACGTTTCGGTTCTAGTTAAAATCGAACCAGTGGCCATGCCTACTTGAAACGGCTCAGCAACAGTAACGCAATAGTAACTTTTCACCACCCAATTTGAGTTACTATTTTATCATTCATCACTAGGTTGATTCTGCAACGTCTTTTTGAACGGACTGCACCAATGAACTTGTCGAAATTTTCTCGTCATCGTGACATATTTACTTTCAAAATATATTCACGGATCCAGTACCGCTATCAGTTTGGTTGGACTGTCGAAACCTTAGGCTCTGATACCACTTGTTAGGGTCCCGACAATAAATTATGAGAATAATTATGGCAGCAGATAAATAAAATTGTGACACACAGAATTTACGTAGTTCACCATTAACTGTTTAGGGTTATATCCACGGGACTAACTCCGAATATTTCTTCCACTATTAAAAATAGTAGGCTTACGAAGAGAGTAATACAAAAATAGTGGCACTCAAAAGTGTTTTTCCAAAACACCCCAATTATCCTCACTATTTTTCTCTACCCTAGTTTTAGGACCCTTCCTAAAACTAGACAACTCTCTCCCTCTCAAACACAGATTTTTCTCTCTTCTGTGTTTATTCTTCTTGTTGTGTGTATTGTGAGCTGCGAAATTCTCCTATTTATAGGAGAAGGAGATGTATAATTAACGCGTCCACCTATTGACGCGTTAATGAAAGCGTCCATCCTCTCGCTAATTTTTTTTTTCAAAAATGTATGGGTCTCACTTGAGTGAGTACCGCCACAATACAGTTAACATTATAAATATATAACAAGCTCAGTTAAAATGCAAGACATGATGTTAAAATGACCGGTATACTTAAAAGATTGGTCGGACATTAGAAATGGAAAGAAGTTGAGGAAAAAAAACGTAAAAATTTATGTTTTTATTGTTAAACTATGTTTTAATTATTGTAACACTTGTCAGATATTTCCTTTAATTAAAATAATAAAACAAAAACCAACTAACCAAAAGAAAATAAACCAGACAAAGCCTTAACAATTATCTCATAATTGCAGGAATGAATCTGATAATTCTGAGAATCACATGTTGAGGTTACAAATTACAACCCATACCCACTGAAAACTTCAAATATAATAAATAAAACAGAAAACAGAGGAGAAAGAAATTGAGAGCCTCCATAACGAAGAAGAAGACAAAAGCAGTATTACTATCAGCATTATTACGACAGCGAAATAAAAATTAAATCAAAAATAAAAATAAAATTACGCAATATAAATGAGGCCACGTAGAGACGTTGATCGACGCAAATTCATAAACGCAGAAGCAGAAGAACAACAAGGAGAAGAAGAACCAGTTTTCAGAACCGGAAAATCAATTTCAATTCCTATTTATTTGTGGTTAATATTGAAAATATCAATTTCAATGGCTGGGCAATCTCGAAAATGGATGATACTTGTTGCGACTATTTGGATTCAAGCTTTTACGGGAACGAATTTCGATTTCTCTGCTTATTCTTCGCATTTGAAATCCGTTTTAGGGATTTCTCAAGTGCAGTTGAATTACTTGGCTGTTGCTTCTGATCTTGGAAAGGTTTTCGGTTGGTCTTCTGGATTAGCTTTGTTGCATTTTCCGTTATGGCTTGTTCTTGTCATGGCTGCTTTCATGGGGTTCTTTGGTTATGGTTTTCAATGGCTTGTTATAAGGAATGTCATCTCTTTGCCTTATATTCTGGTACGTACTTTTCTCCCATTTTCTTGCCGTTTCTTTCATTTTTCGGCGTTTCTTTTTTATTTTCTCTTGAAAGAGTATATATATATATATATATATATACTCTTGAAAGAGTATATATATAGTATATATATTATATGTATATATATATATATATATATATATATGTATATATTATTAAACTAAATTGGGACTCATTTTAAGAATATTTTTCAAAAATTTTTCTACTCAAACATTTCAATTTGACGAATTCAAAATAAATATAAATTTTGTAAAATAATTCATAAAGGTCCTTCGAAACTTAGATAACAATGTGTATGAATATGAATTATTATTTCTTTTTCTTTTTTGAAAGAAGAACAATTATTATTTCTAATATCTTATTATTTTAATATAAAAAATAATTACAAACTTCCAGTGAGTTATATATCAAATCAATAATTAATATTTATTTATCATTTAAAAGTTTTTAAGTAGCTTTTTATTAAAAAAAAGGTTTTTGAAGCAGCCGTTGTGACACCTGTCGATTACTATAGTGGTCAGGTCTTTATCGTTTCTCTTTTTCTAGTAGATTTTTGAAAAAGAACATTATATTCGCCTACTCAAAATAGGGGCAATTTCAATTTTTAAAATTATATTATTTAATTTATATATTATAATTTTATATAAAGTCCAACCGTTAATTTTCCGTTAAATACATTTGATCCAACCGTTAATTTAGTCTTTTATGGTTTGATGAATATGCTCGCAGTAGCCTCAGTTATTATAAATTTCCAGTGTATAGTTCACTATATAAGAATTATTTTTAAGGGTCTTTTTAATATTTCAAAACCACTTAATATAAAACTTAACAGTACAACTTTTCTAACTTCAAAAAAAAAAAAAAAAACCAGTAAAACTTTTCGGTGTAACCATATTAAAATGCAACAACTAAATAGTGTATTCGGGAAACCAAATTCTTACCGGTATATTTGATAAAAATATATAGTAATTATCCCTTAAAATTATTTTTGAAAAAAGCATAAATTATAAGAGTCGTCGATATCTTAATGATTAATATTATTATGATTTTGTAGGCAATATTATTATTATTATTATTATTATTATTATTATTATTATTATATAGCTATCTAGTTTAATTTTTTTTTTTGACAGGAGCTATTTAGTTTAATTCAGTGAATGGTACTTTGTAGCATTTTTATATTAAGATTTATTGATAAACAAAATTTTTTTTTATTAATTTATATATTTAGATTTCTAAAGCAAGAAGTTTTTTTTTTTTTATTTTTAATTTAGAATGACCCTTTTTTTTTTTTTTTTTTTTTTTTTTTTTTTTTAGAATTGACCTTTTTTTTTTTTTTTTTTTTTTTTTTTTTTTGCCTTTTTAAGCGGGGGTTAGGGAGAGAGCCTTCAGGAAGGAAGGCCAGGTAGATTTGCCTCTGTAGCATAGTACCTTACGACATGTTGTCACTTCCTTTCCTGGGAAACGCGCGTCTCTCATCCCAAATTGCCAATGTGGGAAAAATCCAAACCTCCTCTCCTTCTCTATTTATTTATGCTTATTTTATTTAAAACTAAGAGAATTCAAGAAAAAAAAAATATAAAAATAATTAAAAGAAAAAGAGAAGGCAAAAATGGAATTATAAGGTAAGGAAAAAAAAAAAAAAAAAATTTTTTTTTTTTTTTTTTTTTAAAAACTAAAGGTTCAAGAAAAAATTTAAAAAAATAAAAGAAAAGAGAGGAAAAATGGGTTAAAAAGGAAGGAAAAAAAAAAAAAAAAGGAAAGAGGACATATCCCAAATTGTTTTAAATCTCATTTGATGCATATTTAATTAAGCAGACAAATAGTACTATAGTGAAGCTCATACAGGATGGCATTTGTCTGTTGTTACATAATAAGAGTATTTATTTTACGATTTAAGGAGAGCATATGCATTGAATTTTAGGTACGCTTTACAGAAATTGTCCGAACAGCTACATCTTAGAAATCATATTGGATTTTCTATTCAGGAATTAAATTGAGAATTTGTTATATATTTTAAATTTCTTTTTTACTTTTAAGTTTTCACTTTAAAAATCCTTAATATATAACTTCAAAGCTGCATTTCGATTTCCATTTTGTTATTTTTATTGTTTTCCAACTTGGATTGACCAAATAAAGGATCTCAAAAGTGGCAAAACTGGACAAAAATGCATGAAAACAAATCTACAGGAAAAAGTTTGCCGGAGAAGCTTCCTTTGTCTGATACACTAATTTTCTACCATAAAAAACTGCTGAAGCATGACAGTCGTATATTGCCAAAGTAGCAGATGGTGCTAAGCACCTTCTCCTTTCAGATTCTTTTTCTTTTTTTAACTTGTTCCTTTATATGCTCCTTCTCTTCTCTTTACCTAGCCTCGTGATCCCATGAATCTAGAACATGCTCAAATTCTTGATTACGTAGTGTACCTTCCTCTCATATCTTGTTTTTGGTACACTTTTAGTTTTATTGTTACCCTAGCATTTCACATCACCTGCAGCAGTATTTTCATTTTACTAACTACCGTGTTTCTTTAATCATGAATGAAAAAAAAAAGAGGACTTTAAGGATTTAAACTCCAAACCTCTTACATTGGGATAATAGTCGAAGGGGAGTAAAACTAACTTCAACCATGCGAATGCTGAGTTCATTTACTCAAATATTGAAAATGTCTAGCGTTTTGTTATGAAATTTTAAGCAACTTTTATAAATAGTGCATGGATTTTTATTTTATGAAGAAACAGTTATTATTATTAATAACTCCGCTAAATTTATGAAACTCGCTAAGTTTTGGTTTAAGAGACTCGGTATAATAGTTGTAATAATTATTGATAGATTAGTTTAGAAAGATATAATGACATATCACTTATATAGGGAAAGCAATGTGGATACTTCTTCCGCATATCAAGTGAATTTATGTTTTGATGCTCATACTACAATTAGATCAAAATCTTTGGCTTTGCCATGGAAGGAGCTTGACTAGATTTAAGTACGTTTTGGCATTAAGGGAGAATTGAACCTGGATAAATTTTCCAGTGGAAAATATATTACTGGTAGACTCATCCTACAAGCAAAGATTGAAGTACTTGGATCCTTTTTTTATGTTACAAATTACATAAGAGTTTTATGATTTTGAGTATAATTTTGGAAATTCAACGCATAACCAATGAAAGCATTGATGGCATTTTTGTTACCATTATGGTCAGTCATGCTATGGATATGGTAATTGGGTTTGTTCCTGGATCATGGATGAAATAAAATCTTTCCACAATTCATTTTCAGCTTATTTTCATGAATAGATGCTTGATTCTTGATTATCTATGTTTCTTTATCCATTCTTGTCTATTTCATTATCTTATTAGCTGAACTCAAATTTTCTTCTCTAAATATTAACATCCATTTAATATTTTATTCTCTCTGTTTAGAACAATTGAAAAGCTTCTATGACCAATTTCAAGGGTATACCATAGAAAAGCAGAACTACAAATAAGCTAAATGTGAATCTCTAGGCTGCACTGGCTATTTTCTGTCAAAGCTATAATGTTGTATAGCTAAAGGATCAAATTCGTATATAATTTCATAAATTTTGGTTTCTTTTTCATTTGTAGATCTTTATGACCATGACAAAATTAATTCATATTATTTTGAAAAATATGGCAGGTGTTTCTCCTTTGTTTATTGGCTGGATGCAGTATCTGCTGGTTTAACACTGTATGCTTTGTTCTCTGCATTCAGAATTTCCCTGCTAATCGACCACTAGCCTTATCCCTTACTGTAAGCTTCAATGGTGTAAGTGCAGCATTATACACTCTTGCTAGCAATGCAATAAATCCGTCATCAAGTGATATATATCTTTTATTAAATGCTATTGTTCCCCTTATTACTTCCATTGTAGCATTACTACCAATTCTTCGCCAACCATCTTTAGACGCCCTTTCTCCTGAGGAAGTTCGCCGTGATTCCCTTATATTTCTCATATTGAATTTCTTAGCCATCCTTACAGGAGTTTATCTCCTTCTCTTTAGTTCAAATACATCTAATGCAACAAAAGCTTCTCTATATTTTTTTGGAGCAATTTTCTTTCTCATTTTCCCTTTGTGCATACCTGGTGTTGTTTATGCTAGAGATTGGTTTCACCGTACCATTCATTCTAGTTTTCGCCTTGAAGGCTCTGGCTTCATTCTTGTTGATGATGATGATCTTGAGCTTCACAAAGAGCTACTCACCCGTGAGCTAAGTAATCATGAAAATGGGGATGGAATTATCTATGGAGTGAAAAGACAGAAGAGTTCAAGTGAAAAAGACGGGTGTTGTGATACAATGGTTGGGAAAGATCGGCTGGCAATGCTTGGTGAAGAACATCCTGCATGGGTGCTCGTTCGTAGGTTGGATTTTTGGCTATACTATACTGCATATTTTTGTGGCGGTACAATTGGGCTTGTGTACAGCAATAATCTAGGACAAATAGCACAATCACTTGGACATAGCACTAATACTGCAACTCTTCTCACCCTGTATTCTTCTTTCTCATTTTTTGGTCGTTTGCTTTCTGCTGCACCGGACTACATTAGAGTGTAAGTAGCTACTACACCAAGTCTTCTTAGTTAGTAAATTTCTTAACTTTAAGCAAAGTGAGTTCAAGATGTTTAATTACCATACTTTAGAGGTTCGCTTTACTATCGTGCTAATATTTCGGCAGTTGAGTGTCTGCTTTTATATATAGTTCAGAACAGTTTTAATCCTAGTAGGCATAATGCATTGAAGTAGTGAACTTTTACTTTAAATTTCTGGTACCTTGCTGTTGAAACCTCCCTAAACTTTTTATGCATTAAACCAAATAACCATATATATATATATATATATATCCTTTGGCCTGTTTGAAACCTCCCTAAACTTTTTATGCATTAAACCAAATACCATATATATATATATATTATATATAGATTAGATAGATAGATAATAGAGAGAGAGAGAGAGAGAGAGATGAGAGAATATATAGATAGATAGATAGATAGATAGAGAGAGAGAGAGAGAGAGAGAGAGAGAGATAGAGAATAGGATTGAATTTTATGCTGAATGATAATGCTCTTTTTAATTCTGCAGGAAAATGTATTTTGCAAGGACTGCATATTTAACTCTTGCTCTTGTGCCAACTCCAGTAGCCTTCTTCTTGTTGGCTTCATCAAGCAAAGCAGTAGCATTGCATGTAAGCACTGCATTAGTAGGATTGAGCTCTGGGTTCATATTTGCTGCAGCTGTTTCAATAACATCTGAGCTATTCGGACCGAACAGTGTAGGTGTTAATCACAACATCCTTATTACCAACATTCCGATCGGGTCGCTTATCTATGGATTTCTTGCTGCTATAGTATATGATGCTAATGCAAAAGGAGGCAGTGTTGGCCTAGACATCATTAGTGATTCAGTGGTTTGCATGGGAAGGCAGTGCTATTTCTTAACATTTTTGTGGTGGGGTTGTTTGTCAATTGTAGGTTTAACTTCTAGCTTGCTTTTGTTCTTAAGGACTAGGCATGCCTATGACCAGTTTGAAAGAAATAGGATTGCCACGTTGTATTAAGAGCTAGTTAGCATTTATATGCTAATTCCAGTGGTTTCCCAAGGGGGAATTTTGAAATTATTAGTGAGGGAGGGAAGGGGTTGGGATATAGTGAGGGAGGGAAGGGGTTGGGATACATTTTAAATGAAGCTAATTGTAATTGAAAGTATTAATCTTTTAACATTAGTAATCAATAGATTCACAACATAATTACATACTTACTTTGTTCCAAAATATAAATCGTTAAGGTTTTTGTACAAAAATTAAAAAATCAATTAATTTTCTTAAATTATAACAAAATCAAAGGTAAATAATCAAACTACCTTTTATGTTACGTCATTACTCCTATCTCATATTATTATACTATATCTAATATAAATAAAGTTAAAATTGAAAAATGATCATTTATTACTTCTTAAAATTATTCAAAACCATTTATGTTTTAGGACAATAAAAATTACTCTAAAACGATTTATATTTTGAAATAAAGGAAGTAGTTATTGCTAGGCAATTAACCTAAACGGTCAAAGAAATATGATGCTCACATGAAGTACAGATAAAAAAGTTTAAAACATTTTACTTGCTTATTGCTAATAAAATATGTAAAGATTTTAATTTATTCTATTTGAATATTGACTAGTTGATTGAAATGATTGATTATTCAGATTTGACATCATATGTTTATGTTGGGACCGCGCGTACCCTCACCCAATCCCGGATTAGTGATTGATTATTCAGATTTGACATCATATGTTTATGTTGGGACCGCGCGTACCCTCACCCAATCCCGGATTAGTATAATATTATCCGCTTTGGGCCAAGCGCGTACCCTCACCCAATCCCGGATTAGTATGATATTATCCGCTTTGGGTCAAGCCCTCACGGATTTGTTTTTGAGCACCTCCCAAAAGGCCTCATACTAATAGGTTGGATTGAACCATTATATTTTGATTCCTCTTTCATTTTTGTTTTTGTTCGGTGTGGGACTTGGGAGGTTATCCCAACCGTTTACATTATTATTCTAAATTAAGAGCCTGTTTGAAACAAATTAATTCCACCAAATTTTATGAAATTCATTTGAAAATCGAAAATTTTATGTTTTGAATAAATAAAAAAACATAGATTTGAATTCTTTGATTGAATTGTATGGAATTGGTAAAGTTTAACTCAAATTTCTATTAAAATCGTTGGAATTGGCAAATGAATTCCACAAATTAAACAACTAAAAATTATATTGATCAAACTGCCCTCATCTCTCTTATCTCCTCTTCAGCGGATCATCTTCTGCCAAATTTCCTCCTCAGCCGCTTATCTCCTCCTCAACCATCTCTAAGAATAGGTAAGACACCGAGATACCTGTGATAATTATTGTATGTTATTGAAGTTTAGGCTTTATGGAGTTAAAAAGATGTTTTGGAGCTTTGCTTAATTCTCTTTTAGCCTATCGTGTTGAATTTATCCATCCTAAGGAGAACGATTAGTTGTTTTCGTTGAAAGAGGAAAGCTATTATGTTGTTTCCATTAGCAAATATAGTTACGTTTAACACAAGCACACGTGCATAAGTGATAGTGGAGTTCATTATCTCTTAACTTCATATTTGTTTTAGCATTTATCGATTTCTGGTCTTTTGCAGTTTTGGCAGTGATATTTTTCTTGGACTTGGACTTTTAAATTAAGAGCAGTATCATTCTTCTAGCTTAGACTTAAAACATAAACTTTTAAAGTTTAAATGATTAATAATTAATTAATTAATTAATTAGGGGCTGTGTATGGGTGAATTTATTTATATGAAATTTATTATTTATATTTTAATAAAATAATAAGTTATTATATTGTATATAATAAATATAATTAGTGCCTTTATTACATTATTATATCAAGGGCGTTTTAGGAAATAAAGATAAATGAATTTTCATTTGAGAATGTATTCCAAACATAATTTTGTAGAATCCAGTTGAATTCTTTATTTTAAATTATGGAATACCAAACATGATAAATTCATTTAAAATGAATTCTATTTGAAATGCATTTACAAATGATTCATTTGTTTCAAACAGGGTGTAAATAAATAAAAGCCAAATGATTAAAAAAAATCTGAATTTTGGCTAATTCTTTTATCGATACGTATAGGTTGATTCTCAAAAATAACTCACAGGAATTGATTCATTTGAAAATTCAAATGCAATTTATGTATTTTTATTTTAAATCTTTGAACAATTCAATATATTTCTTTAATCATGTAATCACATTTCGAAATCTGATTGATAAATGGATTTATTCTTTGAATAAAGAACAAGCCCAGCTAATAAAGTTCAGCCGCTAATGGATTTATTCTTCATTTTAGTTGCTTATTGATAATAAAATATGTAGAGATTTTAATTTATTCCATTAGAATATGACTAATTAATTGAAATGATTGAATATTTAGATTTAACATCATATGTTTATGTTGTGCTTCTAAATTAAGTAAATAAAAAAGGCCAAATGACTAAAAAAAAGTTTAAATTTTGGTCAATTCTTTTATCCATACATACCGGTTGATTCTCAAAAATAACTCACCAGCATTGAATCAATTCCGCTCCCTCAATTTTGAAATGCTGCTTTAGCAATATTTTTTTACATAACATTTTAAATTTTTGATTAAAGTCAAAATACTACCTTTATATTTATAATGTTTGGTAGCACAACATTTATCGTAATTGAGGACGCGCACGATTTTTCCTAAACGTTTGAAAAGAATAGAATTGTACGGGCTTAGTTCATTTTATTTGGAAATTGGTTTTCTTTTATTAAACCCGTTTAATCATCGGAAAAAGATTCTCTTACTTAGTAAGAGTTTTGATTTTGAAGTCGCCACCCTTATTAGAAAAAAAATTCTTGAATTAGTCGATTCTTTGGAATCTGCTAATCCAGTTTTAAACCAGAGACGGAGTCCGAGAGTTAGGTACGAAATGGGAAGGTACTAGGCACCCATTTTGCTCTGCTAAACCGGCCTCCTTTTTGTCCAAAGATTTACAATTAATAATAATTCGATCAACTAAAATTGAGATGTAAATCTTTTTATGCAATGTTTGAAAAACATGTCATTCACACAAGTTTTTGCAAGCATAATAAACATGAAATATAAAACATTCATGAAGAAAGGGGGAGGAGAAAAGAGTTACAAACCATCCTAATTATTACAATCTACCCTCACTCACACAATTTTTTTGCAAGCATTAATAAAATGAAATATAAAACATTCTTCATGCAAAGAAAGGGGAGGAGAAAAGAGTTGCAAGCATAATAAACATGAAATATAAAACATTCATGAAGAAAGGGGGAGGAGAAAAGAGTTACAAACCATCCTAATTATTACAATCTACCCTCACTCCAAATTTTACAAACCCCCAATCTATTTATTACAAACAAGCTCTTTAATGAGATCCATTAAGATCTCTTTACATTTTGCAATAACAAACAATAGAAAATAATAAGAAATAAACATCCAAACAAACAACATAACAACAAAGATGAATAATATTCCCGTAACTAAAGATCATACATCCCAATCAACTAACAATCACACACTCATAAGAATGAAAAGATGATGCATGAACAAAATAAGGACTTGTTGAATAAGGGGTAGCACAATAATAAACATAAAGGCGTTAAATTAAAGAACATAAAATTAAATGATAGAAAAGTAAAGTGCTTGTAATGTAAATAACATTAATTAAAAGACAAAAAATGAAATGGTTATCCAGATTTAAGCTCATGATCTTGATGTTTATCAAGGATGATGAACAAATTCATCAATCACAGCTCTCAACCTTGTTCTGTTGTTTATTCGATCAATTTATGATCAAATACGCATCCCAAACCTTTTAGGATTGGAGCTATGTCACTAGATGTCCGAGAAAGGGGTATTTATTGAGTTTTTAATGTTCTGGGCCTTTGAAATGAAGGGCCTAGACACATGAGACTATAGTGTGCACCACATAGGTGTGACATGTGCCCCACATAGTGGCATGAGGCCCTTCCCAGATCAGGAAGGTTCAGACGAAGAGCACATCGAAAATAGGCATCTGGGCTCATATGGCGCGAGCCACAGGTCTGTGGCGCACGCCACACGCAATGGCTTGCGCCATCGACTTAGGCAGTGTGCTACAATGACACAGAAGTCTTTATTGGTTCATCCTCAGTTTCGCTCTTAACCAAACCCAATAGAGGTATATAAAACACCGAAAAAAGAAAGAAAAAGTTGTAGGAATGAAGCTGAGGTTCTCAGAAACTACCTTTGAGGAATTTTTTTTTTTTTTTTTGAAGATTAGTTCAAAAGTTGATGAAGAAATCCAAACAACTTGGCTCTGGATCCAATAGTCCGAAGTCTGAGATTGATGTGTGTTTTTAGAAAGATTGATTGCAACTTACTTAGATTCTTTTAGAAAATTTTTCTCTCTCAACCCAAATCAATAAGACTTGTTGTAGATTTTAGGTTGAAGGAGTTTTGACAAAAAAATTTGCAAGAGTTTCTCTTAGCAATAAAAAAATCTCCCCTTTTGGCTCACCCCCGATGTCTATTTATAGACATTTGAGGGTGAGGTGGGCCCATCTAGGGCTGATGTGGCAAAAATGCCACTGTTTGACTCGCAACTAGACCGGCCCCACTTTTGCTAAAATGGACTGGGTGGCAAGCAAAACGAGGTAGTTTGGGCCCAACACGCTTAAAAATAGTTAAACACGTAGATAATCTTAGCCACAGACCATTAGTCCGAAATCGGAGCGATCGGGAATTCTGATTCAACTTTATACAAAAAACGGTGTATCATCACTGAACCTTTTAGGGGCAAAATTTGAGCATCTACACTAATGTTTTCAAAAGTTGAGAGTAGGGGGTCAGCATCCGGCCAATTCAAGTAAAATTTTTGACAAAATTTTTTTTCTTTTGCTTAACCAAATTTAACCAAACTCAATTTTTAACCGAGTTTAACCAAATCCTTTTGGCCGAATTAATTTTGATCATTAACCACACTAAAGTTAAAGAAAATGAAAACCTAATTAATTGGCTTAATTTAACCAA